CCCCCACACACACACCCCTCCAACCCCCACTATGTTATTATATAGCATTACATGTAATAGAACCTCATTTATTTTCACCAGAGATTCGGTTGCGTTTCCGAGGCTATGCAGACGTACACTGGACAGAACAAAAGTCACGAGGAAGCGGAAAGCATCGCAGAACGTACACCAAGCATTACCGAAGCCATGAAACTTACTTCGACAATATAGTAAAGGTCCTCGTCCCTGGTAAGTATACAGGAGGACGCTTACTAGGATGTTTCCGGCCACTGTGCCCAGATATAATATTATTTATAAAGTCGTGAAACGTGTGGTATGATCGTGAATAAGGTATCTACTATTTGTTTTGTGTGTAAGTACGTATTAATCTTTAATGTGCGTGTTTATAATGGACTTGCATTGCACACCGAGCAAATGTACACTGTAAGATAACGAATACCGTTTTATTAATTACAAAAACGAGTTTATCATAAACACATGATACGTGCATATCATTTAATGAGTAATAGAATCTTTCCATATATTAATGATGTGACATAGAAATCTCCAACCCGAGGGGTATTTTTTGGTTGTCTAACCCGAGGGTCTGCCGAGGGTTAGACAACCACAAAATCACCCCGATGGTATGGGATGATTATTTTTCTCCAATCCTATTATTTCGGTCACAACTCCACCGACTGTAGTGTAAACAAAAACACATGTTAGGTATGAATATCGTCATCAAAAGGGACATGTGACACATTTTAATGACGTCACAATTGAACACGTGCTACACGTGTTAATCGGCACGAGGCTATATCCCCCTAGGGGTGACAAGCTGATCTTTACCGGCTAAAACGAGAGGCACATCTGTGAAGGGTGAGAGAAATGTACATCATACAATGAATTAGTGCATTTACAAAATCACTACCTCAAATGATGGTTGAAAGTATCTTCAATGAAATAAGGCAGCTTCATATAATGAAATGACGGCCTTATACATATACCCATTGAAGTGCTCTGAGTTGTTATTCATAAGTAATGTGAATGCCAACTAAACAAATGCAAGTTCGATGAAATCTGTTGGCGTGTATGTTTTATTTGCCTTTGTCCTATTGGCACTTAGTTTGCCTATGACTGCCATAAGAAATAACTTCAATATACAAATGTACTTGTATATTTGTCATTTTTTATTTAAAACCAATTCAGTGAGTATAATCATAATTCACATTTTCTGCGTTAACCATGTACCAGTGGGGTTAATTATACATGTATAATGGCGGCATTTGCTGTATGATAGCAAATACTTGACTACTTGATAAAAAAAAACCACACAACAGCATACATTTCAAATAGTACACAATGACCATAAGGAGTGAAATATTGCTTTTAATGTAATGGAACGATGATCCCATATGCTAAAATTATTAGTTAATATTTACGATTGCCACTGTTTCTGAATCTATATTTCTCAATAACTTGAGTGTAGAACGTGACCCAGTTTACCGCGTATGAATATATGTAAATATTGGCGGACTTCTTTCCGCAAACCTTGTGTCATTGTTCACAAACACACGCTAGCGTTTAGACTACCGTGCGTTCGAGACACCAAAATAAGTGGCAGAAGCTACAGTCGCCATTGTTGGTACAAAACGCTCCATCAGCTCCACTCTCTCATCTATGAGTGTCGGCCGCCATGACACAGAAACGATGGCTATCCTTTCCAGAAATGTAGGTCAAATTTCTCGTCCCCAAAATGTTACATCAACAGTCACTCGGCCGACAAACTGCTCTCTGGTATGCTTACAAACAGCAATTTCAATAACTGCACATTCAATATCCACCAGGCCTGGGCTAATCACTATCGCTCGACGACATGGTAGCACTCTCTATTTTCCGCCTTTACGCAGGCGCATCACTTTCAAACGTTGGACGTCCGCGGTCATTAGTATTTTCTACTACTAAGTATTTTGCCGACATACCTCAATTTCATACAAATGTAAGATTATTTATTCCATTACCTACTAAAACAATCATGAAGATAATGTATGAAGTAGAATATGGATATTCTATGTGAATACAAATATTATAAGGGAGGAACTTTTTTCTTTTGTTTTCACGGAGAAAGTGGGTGGGGTTTAGCTGTCTGTCAGCGGCTTTAACATGACTTCAAAATATTTTTGAACGCAGATTACACAAGGTAAATGCTTGTATCCGACTCTTTTAATGGTGTTATTGTTTAAAGAAAATATTGTCAATATAAGGATTAACCTTTTATTTTGTTTAATTCATGAGATAATAAATCCAACAGAGCAGTCGGTGAATTGTTTGTAAACGTTTCGCGTTTACGCAATTTACCTCGTGTTCCATTGGATTTATTATCTCATGAACTGAACAAACTAAAAGGCTAATCCTTAAATATTAGGAAAAAAAGACATCATGTAATGAATATTTTCATTTTATGGGAAAGGATACAAGAGGCAGATACGGACAACATTCAAAAGAAAACAAATACATTTGCCATGGTGAGACGCGCTGATGACACCATAGGAAAATATTAATTTATTTTCACGTTGTCAGATATCGCCAGCATGTTTAGTAAACTGTACCTCATATAGATCATATACCATTCAGACTAGTGCATGTACTGTACCTGTGTTATTTACATAGTATTAATGTATAACTTTGACCCGTTGATGGCATATCCACAAAAAACCATTCTGTTTATATGCAATGTGTTTGTATACCGTCAGTGTATGTTTAAGTTGTGCACTTCCGGTTTCCAAAATACAAAGTCGAAAAAAGAACCCGTTTCAAGTTTTCGTTTCATTTATTCTCTCGCATTCCTTAAACACCACAACTATCTTAAAGTCTAGAATATAAAATATTAGGTCAATCCGAAGCCAGCTTCTTTTCGTATTGCTCTCGTAAATCTATTACATTGTATGAAATAAAAATTGCAAGGTACTATTTATAAACCTAATGCCGAGACCCCCTATCTACTGTAACAACACGATCGATATTTCGTATAGTATTAATAGCACCAAGTAACTCACCAACCTACAATGTGTTTAGCATTAGTTACCAGTCATGTATAGAATTATTTAATAGGCCAGCCAACTCAACATTTACCCTCTTAGTCTTTCCTGACACGCTCATAACATTAATACTGCCAAGTACTAAATGAGTATAAGTAAACAAATATAATCTACCTGTTAATACAACATCCCTTGTGTCTGACTGTACTTGGCTAGGAAGATTACTTCATATCAGGTTCAGCAAGTGGCAATTTCCATGGTTACCTAGTTGTTTATTGATGATCATAGGTATGAATATTATTTTGTACCTCATGTAAATATCTAGTAGTCTGATTGTTCATTTTACACTGCAATATCATGTAAACATACCTCGCGTATGGAAGCACCAGTAAGTTAACAAGTTACTGTAAACCCGAAACACAAGCTGCAAGCTTTCCACAGATATCGACTTACGAGAAAACTACGAGGACCATATTTCAAATAATAAATCAAGTGGGTGTTAACAACGCCGTAGTAACGGTGTTAACAATGCCATAGCAACGGTGTTAACAACGCCATAGCAACGGTGTTAACAACGCCACAGTAACGGTGTTAACATTTTATATTTGACATAAAATAAATATGACATTGAACACCAATTTATTTCCGAAGTTTTAATGATAAAAATATTAAAACGGAGTAAAATTACTTACAGATTTTTTTTTTAGATTTCAGCACAGTCGAAACATGATTCATAACAGTCGGACGACTTAATATGTCATGTTCTATCCTTTAGTTTGAGAAATATACAAAACAAGTGCATGAAAAATGTCTGCAAGGACCATTGGATTTCTTTGGTGGAAATTGCATACAATACTGTAGGGCTCTGCAAGTAAAGGATGCGTTGAGAAGAGTCATGGCAATTTTTTTTATACGCCCGTCGAAGACGGGGACGTATTATGTTATCACGTGAGCGGGCGGGCGGGCGGGCGGGCGAGCAAACGATGTCCGCTCGATATCTCGAGTAATTATTAACGGATTAACTTCAAACTTCACAACAAGGTTAATTACTATGAAACCTCGGACCAGTTCGATAACCGTCATTATCCGATTATAATTTCTGGAGTTATGCCCCTTTACTTGCCGAAACAGTGTCCGCTCGATATCTCGAGTAATTATTAACGGATTAACTTCAAACTTCACAACAAGGTTAATTACCATGAAACCACGGACAAGTTCGATAACCGCCATTATCCGACCATAATTACTGGAGTTATTACCCTTGGTTTCATTAATGCGATGCATGCGTTCCATGATGTTGTATTGCACTCATTGATCTACCAGTTATGTTGAATGATTTCTCTTTTAATATCAATTACTCACAAATACTTCATATATTTCAATCATACAAACAACTGCTCATTCAATGTGTGACGGGCGTATTATATACCGCTCTCGGTAACCTTGTTTTAAATAGCCACACATTTAGAGAGACGTCCACAATTTCATTAGATATCGCATGCTACATAATGACAACACTAGGTCACGAAAAAACCCACTTCATTCACAGCAACACTTCTAGGCTGAGTTGAAAGACAAACAACGCGAAATGTCGAAACGCTTAAGCAAATACCTTGCTCAGTCTACGAGTTGTTCACTGCGAAAAATCTCACAGGTATGACTGGTTTAACAGAGGCAGATTAAAACACACTTTGTGGTAATGAACTTGACCTGCTGGTATTGGAACAAATCTACAAAGCTGTCGCAAACACTATTATACTGCAGCCGGATTTATCGCCGCCAGTGGCATAACAAGTGGAGCAAATCTCACAAAGATACACATGTCCTCCTAAAGTATCAAACATTACTGTCAGTTTCAATATGACAATTAAAAAAGCACCCAGTAAAATTTTTAACCACTTCCAGGACATTTTACAGTGTAAGTTTAATCTTCATTGAAATTTGAATTGTTTACCGTTATATTGGTCAACAAAACACGTGCTTCATTGAAACCATTGCTTACAATTAACTCTTTGCCTAAGGAAAACTTGAGTACATTCATCAGAGGGGCAGCAAGTGCCTAGATGCCCTTTCTCCCCTAGTACATCTCTGTTATCACCTGCTTCGCCTCCGGTGATGGTGATATACTCGGGGATACTCTATGCACTTTCATCCTCTTATAAATATGTTTTATATGAGACGGCAGTAGAATTCTGTGTACAGAATCGTGCAGTTTCTTCTGTGTACTCTGAAGTTACATTTACTTTTGCGATCTTTTCATATTCTGTTTTCATTCTGCAATGCGTCCACCTCTCTTGTCATTCTTGACACAAACATATTATACATGGGTACATTGTATAATGTCGTAATGTAATAATAAACTGTTACTGCATTAATTCATCCACATTTGTGTGCAGGTCCAGGAGAAGATCAGTTGATTATGAAGCCAGGCCAATATACGTATCCCTTTGGCATGCAGCTCCCCGGCAAATGCGCTACCTCATTTGAGGGCGGCGTGGGGCGAGTGCGGTACTACCTTCAAGCTATCGTAGATAAACCCTGGGCATTTGACAATGAACACTTCCATCCGTTTACGGTCATACAACTGCTGGACCTCAACGGAAGAACAGATGTTATGGTAAGTTGAAATAACATATATGATAAAATTGAAATATTTTGTTGTCCAAACACATAGATCAATACTTACCCGAAGGCTGGTGTCTGCGGAGATGCCATGACATATACATCCTCGATACTCCAGGTGTTACGCTCACTTACAAATGTACGCTCTATGCACCGCTGGAACATGTCATGACAAAATCGAAGGCTCAGTGCGCGACACCTTCTGGATGAGGCAAGAAGACTAGTTTGATCCTCTGATTTTCATCAAAAGAATTTCGCGCCAGCGTAGCGGTAAAAATGACTGGTTATGAAGTTCGGTATTGCTTCTCTGTAATCTTCAAAGGACACGAATCAGCCTTGTGATTGGTCAGATTTGTCAACATTCATATAACTAGCAGCGTGCTTTCGGTTTTGTATGACACATTCCAGGGGTATGGAGTACGTAAGTGAGCGAAACCACGAGAATGGTACATTAATAGCAAGGAAGTAGGTAATAAAAAAAAATCGGAATAACAATGATGGCATGTCGATGTTTGTATTTTTTATGTCACAGAAAGAAGGGACACGGGAGAAAGACCTCAGGGAAGAGGACGTATTTGTCGTTTGTTGATAACCTGGACGAATTAGTTGGTGATTCGGTGTGCGTGTGGTTTCATTCATAATTAATATAATTTGCGGGAGGGGGGGGGGGGGGGGGGGGGGGGGAGGGGGATATGTTCAATAATAAGTTCCCTAGCACGTGTTGAATTATAAATGTAAATTACATATTGTATGTCAGATTTATCTAATTCACGCGAACGATGAATATATATATATCGGACGTATGTGAGGTAATTCTGGTATCAGTAGAACATCTATACAAATTCATTGTCGTTGAAATTAAAAACTATTTATTGTATACGATGTCCTTAAATAAACATGTACTGATGTGTACAATGAAGTATGCGGGGCAGTGCTTATTGTTCACTGGTGTCGTGTAACAATATCGTTAACGTCAACAACAAATCATTCAACATTACCCAGTTTTATGCTAAGTCATTCGCGTTTCTATAAATTTCTCCAACAGCAAATAACATGATGATGATTTGGCTTAAACTTCTGACAACCAACATTTCTTATGTAAATCACTCCTGTTGACGAGAGATGTATGTAAACGACACATGTCACGAGGAGAGAGTATGTTGTCAAATGGGTGCATCGAACAATTGGCACACCTATAATAACACCGCATAGAAACTTAATAAGCGCAGTATTAGTCAGCGCTGTAAAAATATCAAATAGAGCTAAAATAAGAGAGATATCTTGCGCCATTTCGCGAAATAGTAGCCCTGCAAACGAATAACCGATATGCAATCCCTATCATATTTGTATGCAAAAAACTTGAGATGTTCATTGTTGTATGCTTTTGATCCTGTTTGATTACAGAACACCGTCGAAAATCAGGGATCGAAGACGCTATGTTGTCTTTGCTGTGAGTCTGGACCAATCACAGGCAAGCTACGTCTTAATCGAACAGGATATGTCCCGGGCGAAAAGATCATGGTTCAGGGAGAAGTTGTTAATCACAGTCGAAGAGCGATGAAAAACCACCAGATCAACCTCCTTATGGTATGTCGCTTCTTCTTGATGAAAACCTAATAGAGGGATTATATTGCGCTTATGAATCTTCTGATAATAACTCATTTAATCTCTCCTATTCGCAGCTAATGTATTTCTTTGATATACATACTGGCTGTCAAGGAATTTTAAAGTACAAAGGAAGAAAATTTATTTGAAACAACTCAGGATTCGTTTTTTAATCTAATCTCCAAACGTCCAGAATTAAGCTGGTATTCAGGTAAAATTAGGGTTAAGTGGGACTTAATCTTTAGTAAAAACAGCACGACAGCTTTGAATACTTATCATCGTGTGCCATGCCATATTTATCCACCAATGTGTATTATATATATACTTTATATATAGAGTATTCTGTTCTCTATAAATGATAATACAACATCCAGTACTTATAAGTATGTCAGCACTATTAATAAGATACACATATTGTTTATGTATATCTATTACCTATGTTTATATACATTACACGTCATGTACGACTAATAGTATGTAAGGTATGCATACCGGTATTTTACTTTCGTTTCTGTATTTGTGATTTGAAACAAAAAATAAATACAAAACAAAGATATTATGTCAACTATACGACAACGAATGTCGGGTACCAGGAATAGATGCACAACAAATGTCTGACATAATTGTGCATCTATTCCTGGTACCCGACATTCGTTGTCGTATAGTTGACATAATATCTTTGTTTTGTATTTATTTTTTGTTTCAAATTTCATTGTGATATTGGTGATATTTAACTCTTGTCGTACATGTACTTACCTTAACAGAACGTGAATTACCACGCAGGTGGTAAGACAAGAAGAGTTCAGACGGAGGTGGCCGAGCTCCGGAAGATTGAGATACCACCAGGCGAGTCAGATAGTTGGAATGGGGAGGGGTTAGTGATACCTCCACTACCTGCTTCCGGTCTACCTGGATGTTCCATCATAACCATCGACTATACTGTTGAGGTGTGTCCTGTTTTTAAACAGTAACACGAATAAGCATACATGTATTAGTTCTGATGATGATTTTACTGCAAACTTCCATGTAGTACATTTGAATTGAGACTATTGAATAAACATTTCAAATTAATTTTAAAAGCTACATGATTATGGTATAGTGGTAAATTATATAAATGTTGTGAAACGAAATAAACTTTTGCTGTAAATACTTTACAAGTTAAGTGATAATCATGCCTGACTCGAAATGTTGCTCAAATTTGTCAGTCTTTATATGAGCAGCGTATTTAAAATAGAATTACACGTAAATAAAACATCTTGGGTTTCGAAACGGTCACGCATGTCATTCAATCAATTATCAACTCTTGGTAACAGATATTATTATATTAATTATCATTGATTATTTTCAATTTTTATAATGTCTATGCTGATCGGCGATACGGTCTTTTATCAAATCTCTATTATCACATTGCAGCTGCAGGTTGTTCCCTCTGGACTGGCCTTTGATTTGAGTGTTCCCATCCCTGTAATAATCGGCAGTATTCCATTAGTGTCAGTAGTCCAGCAGTTCGGAGTCCCAATGAATAAGCCTACGACTGTGCATGCACCCGAGTCCAGAGTCAATCCGTCGGCTCCTCCTCCGTCCTATAGTGATATCTACCATAATGACCCTGCCTACCCGCCGCCCCCACAAAGCATGATGCCAGAAAATATACGTAAGTGTATCTTATAACTCAAATTTGTAAACATGGAATAAAATCAGGTTGTGTTCAATGACTCAAGTTTTTCTTGGATTTTTTTTTTTTTTTTTTTTTTTTAAAAAGCGNTGTGTGTATTTCATAAAAAAGGTGTTTGCCATAACTATAAATAGATGTTATTATTTTTGGAAAACAGAAATTCACCTGATGGCCGTCAAAGACCATACTGATAAAAACGATCCCAGAGATGGGAATCGGTCCAAGCATGTTTGACGAAGGACAATGCTGTTAATCTTTAGTAACTCTCATTAATCTTTAATCTTTAGTAACTCTCATTGCTAAGGAGTAGCTTACAACACATTTCAGAATGTATTGCTCTGCTAAAGATTTTGCTCTTCCTCTACTAAATCAGAATTGTTTCACTTTCAGCGCCACCCTCATACGGTCGTAGTGCGCTGGGAGCAATGTCGGGTGGATACAGTGAGGGAAATGAGGTTGATAACGAAGATGCGGCCCCTAACTCTGTCCAGCCAACGAACCAGCCCTCCAACCAGAACTGGAGCCCGATGTATCCCTACTACGACTGGAATCGCCCCGATGCAAATTTCCACGTCAAAGAAAAAGAACAGAGGGCATAAGATCTACATGTATATTGCGATAATCTTCAGCTTCCTATATTGTTTTCCTTAATATCTACATGTCGCTATTTTGACGTGAAACATTAACATGTCCTGTTAACAATCGTTTTACGTCAAAATATGTTTAAATATATCATGTTCTGTATTGTATTTAGGACTTGAGAGTATACACTTTACATATAGTTCGAGAACTCATATTGTACAACAGGTGGATTTAAAATACCAATGTATGATAAAATTGATTATCACTGTGAATATTTCGAAATTATTTTTCTTTATGCCAAAAAGTGTTATTCAAGGACCAAATGAATACAACACGGCTTATTTCAAGCATACCTCAATGACATGAACTCCAAACTATGTTGGTTCTTATTTAAAGTATTGTTTGTCATTTTACAGCTCAAAATTTGGGTTCGGTCAAGTAGGTAGAAAAGTGAAATATTTTATTTCGTTTTTCTCATATAGTTTTTCATTGTCAAGCTCTAGATGCAAATGTGTTTTTTTCTTTTATTTTTTAATCAAATACCTTTTTTGTTTATAAAATAATTTCGGAATGAAATTGCCGATAATATTGTTTGAGTCAGTCTGTGGTTTGGTGGGCTTTTCGCAAACATATTTTATTTGAAAGCAAGCATTGCATACTACCATAACTACTGAGAGATGCCTCATTTTATTTATACCGGAAACCACAAAAAAAAAAAAAGGTTTATATTTCTGGCTTACCATGTCCGTCAACCCACACACACGGCATTCGGACACCATTATTCGAATTTCTGTTAGCATTTGAATTTGACGTAACGAAGTTATTGATACCTAATGGCTCTAACAGCGTGACAGTTTTGGTTTTGGAAATATTCAACAGTTCTTGCTGAATACACTATTTTGAGTTATTAGGCTTATCTAGAGGTTGTACATCGAAAATGTAAACATTACATGTTCAATATGTTAAAGATATATATAAGTATACTGCCATCAAAATTTAAGTGAATTTAAGCTCCTTTTTAACGATACTTAGGAGTAAAGAAACTTTTGAAATTTTATATGTAACGGATATTTGACGAATCTCCCAGTCATTATAAATAGATACTGTTTAATGATACTTATTTTAGATATCATATTTTGTTCGCATGATATATTATTAAATGAGCATCCCATTATTATCCTGTATTAGATTGAAGACGGGTTATATCCGCTGTGATTATTTGTATAAATTCAATTAATTGGCCATGCCAATTTTGAAGATAAGCTGAGTTTACATTTAAATTAATTCTGAGTCAGTCTAGTTCCGCTAACTATAAAAAAATTATTAAGAAGCATTCGATAAAATAGTCATGTTTGTTTGGACCAAAAATGTTTGATTCAAAATGTGAGTGAATGCAAGAACTTTCGATGATGAGATTGCAGGTGTGTGATAAACAATGGTGCTTGTTCGAATGTCTTTAGCATTGAAAAGGGAGTACGAAAAGGTGATCCAATATCTCCCTATTTATTCATTTATTTATTAGCTGAGAAATAAGGGGTAGCTTTCATAATCCGTCCACATATAAAAGGTATCAACAAAGATAATACAACAATAAGAATAAGTCAGTGTGCAGCAACTGATTGTCTGGGCAAGAATTAACGCCCTCTCAGGTCTGTTTATATCTGCCGGAAGAATTTGGGAAATGTTTATAGTCATAAGAAAAAAAAAGGTATTGGAGGAGCAGAAAAGTTTATCGTCAAAAGGTTATTTATAAAACAGAACAAAAATATTTTGAGAAAAATTTGAAGGGATTATTTTTAAAAGCTTGGTTTTAAGTTCTATCACAGTAAAATAGTTTCCATATTTGTTCATTTCAGGGAAAAACATTACAACAATGAACAAACCTTAAAAAGTACGGCTGAGAAACCTGACAGGGGGTAAAATACCAGTAATAGGCATTTTAGATTTTCCCATCATTATCCAGATATAAACAGTTACCTTATCAACCTTGGATATTATATGAGAATTAATGCAAACATTTGATTTGTTTTGGATCAATCGAACATATCAAATGTTAAGGAACTCACGAATAAATACTCTTAAAAAGGGAGGATTGAACATGTTTCATTGGCAAAGTTTCTAAAACTATCGCAGTTGGGAATATATGTGATCCATTCAAATCAAAATCTTCAGCATGGAAACCTGATTCATTAATGGCAATGGCAAAGGTGGACAGAAGAGCTACTAGTAAACGGCAATTTGATTGTGTGGTAAAATGAACGCATGCTTTCCTTCAATGTAGCAGATGAGTTTGTAAATTTCAATTTTGCACACAGGTCATATGTACAAAAAATATGCTTTTCAACTTTAACATCATCAACTAAAAAACCTTTTTGTTTTGTAAATACGAAGATGATACCATTCTACACATGATGTGTCAATGTGTCAATGGGTATAGTTTATGGAGATCTTTCTTCGGGGTGCTTGATGACAGATACATTGTACAAGGTTTTATAACCTTTGTAAAGTGCTTGTCAAATTGGGCGTAGATTTCTGAAAGAAGAAAAGGCTAATAATCGAAGGATTTATTTATTTCCATACACATGTTTGTTTCGAAAATAGCTATCAGGAAAAGTCGAAACACTTTGATATGTAGAATACTCTGTTACGTATCTGTACTTAAATGATTTTGAGAATTCTATGTACACTTTTGTACTTTAAGATAAAGGTTTTGTACAATCAATTGGGACACTCAGTTTTGAGTTAAGTTAGTCCATGACTCTTCACTGAAGTTCACGTGCATCTATCTTTTCAATGACTATTTTGATTAAAAAACATTCAAAGAAAAAGATGGTCACCTTGTTGTCAATTAAGATATTTGATTATTTCACACGTAACAGTAAGTTTGTTTCTGTCTCTATAACAATTTAATGCAAACTATCTTTCAGTTTTTCGGTTTTATGTGAAATAAGCCCTCAAATCACGTTACTGCTACATGTACACTTTTAGGACAAAAATATAAGACAATAAATGATTGTTTATTATACCGAACACGCTATCATATACACTTTATATGTAAGGCTTAAGATACAACCAAACAACTTGGATTTTATGAACAAACTTAACAAAAACAGACACGGGCAAAGACCGCATCCCTTTATGCCTTTTGCTTAAGCCAATGTTGAGGTAAAAGGGAGACTATTATCGTAAAAGATAGCTAAGAGTTGAGATTTCCAAAAGAATTATGAGTCTGTAAATGATTAAAACGACATGGAACACGAAAAGTGACATCTAGTAATAAGCATTCCTCAGTAAACATCCAAATACATTTACGATGATTACATGTACGGGTTTGTAACAAATCCTACATGGATATCTAACAGGTCCCGGGTTCCTGGAGACATCTCACGAGAGTTAAAAAGACATCAATGTCATTGATTCCAGCTCACTTTTAATGGGTTTTTGTCAGCCTGAAATTGTTTGAAATAAATTTCGCACTATTCCCAAGAACGGAAGCCAATAGGAGTTATCTTCCATGAACCACTCTTCATACAACATCTAGCCGAGAGATCAAAGACATTGATACATGTAAGGCTGTTATATCTTGTTTATTGTTTGGAAAAACTAAATAATCTTATTCAAACGCTAATTGGCTTCCTTTGCTGGTTTTTGTTTTATAAATACTCTCAATATTATGATATCATGGTTAACCTTTTATATTATTTAAAAAAATACTCGATACTCCGGGGCTAATGCTCCTTGTTTTGCTCTCTGCACCCCTGGAATATGTCATAACAAAAGTGAAGGCACGCGGCTATCTATTTGATTGGTTTCACAGGTTGGTTCTTTAGTACATTGGTTCAAATTAACATCGGACAAAAGTTGAATTTTAATTGACCGTCATTACGACTAAATGTTTTGATGCGTTTGCCGGGTCGAAAGGTCAAACGTCCAGTCCAACAATATTAATTACTATCAACATCAATTTTGTTTCTACCTGTACAAAATAACACTGTTGCCATGGGTTCTCTATATAGGACTGACGTTCAGACAGACTTGCTTTGATTGCTTTCAGATCAAAGGACGATCAAAGTCCGAGTCACTTAACAGATAAGAGAAAAATATCATAACGGAAAATAATTTTACTTTATTTTTAACGCTATTGGCAAATAGCTGTTTTTAATCTAAGAGTATAACTAAAATGGTCAAAGAGATTTAACCGGCTTTTACTATGATGTAAATAATTAAAAACCAGCTAGTACACGAGGTGTTGAAGCTAAAACAGGACATAGAGTGGATTGTTTGAACTATAGACACAAATATTTTTACGGATCATCAAGCTACATTTATTTTACAAAAATTAAAAAAGAACACAAAAGTGTCGTAAAAACCGTAATTTGAACACAAAATCGATCAAACTAGAGCAATACAAATTAACATATGAAATATTATGCAAAGACTATTGAAAAATTACAAGGATTAAGCCTTTTTGACGACACCCGCTATTTAAATCGAGGCCAAACCCAAGAAAGGTAAGTTTCTCAAAACGAGAACCGTGTTGGTGACAGTTAAACAAGACGGCACACTAGTCAGCATATTCTGAAACATCTAACTTCGTACAAAAAGAGGAAACACTGTTAACGGTCATAGGCTTCTTATATGACCTTACATATTACATTGACTGAGTGGGGTTATTTCCCTTTGGTTGTAATATAGCTGTTAACACATTAGGGATTGACTCAGACAAGATATGAGTTTTATTTGATATTGTGTTATTGGTGGGCTAGGCAATATTATATTCCTAAATATCCTGATAAACTATGATTCCGGGTTCTGTTGTTGTCCTGAAACAAACAAAATTCAAAACAAAACATAAACTAGTCAAATATACCGAGTTAAAATGAACGCAAGATCACATAGAATCCCCCGGGGAATTCTTTAGAACTTACACAAACATTTCTTCAATACATGTTATTTCAAATCAAGGAGTAAACACCTCAAGATTCGATGCTGGAGAAACGAATAAAGGGAAACAAAATCAACCGAAAAATGTAATGCATGTAGCTAATATATAGACTATACCCGGGGAATGAACAAAGGGAATGGAACGTTTGATATATAGTTTTTTTATGGGAAAGGAGTGTTAAAATTTAATTAGAAGTAATGATTTTACATTATATACAAGATATATAAAAGTATATAGGCAAATGCAAAACAAATACAAAAAATAACAGAATTTCTTAGTAATCTACTTTCTATCCGTTAGATGTTTATTCTAAACATATTTTATTGTACAAATATACAAGTGGATTGGACAACAAGTTATAACAACTTAATAACAATCCTCTCCTAAATACATATGGTGAATACAATGTATATGTTTTTGGAGGAACGGAAGGATAGGGTGGAGAAGGAAGGATATGGAGGTGGGGGGGTGGGTGGGTGTGGGGTGTGGGGATAGGGAATGGGGGGTTACCTAGAAAAGAATCGTGTAAACTGTGAAGAGGATCCGCATTTGAATAAATTATAAATTATACAAAATTTCATGACATGTAGTCCGGTATAGTAATTTTCTAATGAACAAGATCAATGTAACAAAGTAAAAAGGTAAAAAAATGAATTGCAATTTCATAAACATATATAACAACGTACACATATAAATAAAAACAAGGAATGATAATTATAATTATCAAAACCTATTGCTGGATTTGATGTAATGATGCATTTGTCTAAAAAAAATTGTATTGTTTTCTACCGAAAGTTGGGCATTACCAAACAAAATATTCTAAATCAAAATCAACATACAAGGCATTTAAATTTTAGAACAGGATGCGTCTTCCGTCGTTAAAAAGTAAGTATCATAAAAAAGTGAAAGGTATTTTCACAGGGATGGCCACAATTACAAACTGGACTATCAACAAGATTTACCCTATAAAGATCATATTGAAGTGGACTACACTGATATCTAAGTTTTGAATGCAAAATGTTTAATTTACGTTCACCGAAACCTAAGTACATTGGCGGAGGAGACAGTACGTTTGAAGTTAACGAGTTTTAAAAAGAATGTAAAGAAGTCAATGATCGTTCTGAAACGAAAAGTTCGATGTTCACCAGGGGGTGAATTTTATACGTTGACAGGTGTTGTTTAACTATCATTTCAGACAACATAAGGTGGTTAACGTTACTATTGGACGATTAGTCCGAGAGGTTGGCCTTGTATATTATACGTAGCTGGAATTGACTCTAGCACATGGAGTACTATTGTGATGTCATAACGGGTCTTATTACCCCTTTTTTCCCTCTTGCTCTTTCTACGTATATTTTAGAACACTTCAGACATTGAATTTTCAATCCCCCCCCCCCCCCCCCCCCCCGGTTTTTATTGTTTTCTTTCCTTTTATTTGAAGTCACCATGGTTTATGATGAGTTGCAATTTTGTCAGGACTTGTGTGCTAATGTATGTTGCATACTTACCTGTAGGTATAAATATATTATTGTCTTATACTTGTTTAAAAATCTTTCTAAAGTCAGAAAAAGTAAAGCAATATCTACGTATGTAAAAAAGAGGAATATTTTCAACTTGATTTGAAGAGGGTCTATAACTGTCCAGGAAAATATCGATGGTTTTATCAATAAATTTGTCTCGTTCAAACATAACGTTCCATGCCTTTTTTTCCGAAATCTGAAAAAACCTGATGACGTTTGAATAGACTGAAGATCGCATGGATCAATTTTCAACAAGTCTTAAATTAAAAAAAAAAAATGCTTTTAAAGAAAAATATCATTATATTTGATACCAAATGTTCTTGTGCATTAAATTTACGTGATATTCACGTGTTCTTTGATTTTGATTATATAATGATTTTTTTTTCTGTGTCAGCATCTAAAAACATTTTCTTGCTACGCAAATTTGGCGTACCATTGTTCTGAGAGTCCTCAGAGTGGGAATATGACGACCTTACATCCGCATGGCGGCTATAACGTTGCTATTTCAATCGCCTCTCAACCTATTGTCGTTGACGTGACATTTAGAAATGACGCCCACTACCGCGTCTGTCGTAATCCTGGAGATATTCCTACGGCCATGTCCATCTAAACATCGTAGGTTTTACGGGATAATTGGATGTATTTTTAATACGACTCCGTCCTATAATGTACTAGGGCAGCTGTGTTCTGTTTTCTGTCTGTACGTTATGCATACATATGAGGTTCTTTGTCCGTTTAGCTACAAAGACAAAACAATGATACTTGTTTGGAAACAGCATATCACTGTAAATAAGAAGGTCGAAAGCACCTTTTTTTTTGTTAACAGTATATGTCAGGATATTTTTTCAGCTGAAACCATTTCTAAAATCTAAGGGTTTCGTCCTCAGTATTCATACATTGTACCTTCTCTTCATCTATGGAATTTGTAATGACATAATCGAAGGCGCCTGTTAAGCTTTTTTTATTGGTGTCAGGTACACACTAGGCCGATACCTTACAGCGGAGCGACACCAAACTTCAAAGCCGATCGCTTTTACTATTGATGTAAATCCATGGATCAAACTTATCTAATTGTGTCAGCCACAAGGTGGCGCTAACACCTACTCCGGTATCACGAATTTCGTTTATTGAGGATGAAACCTTAAACTTTCAAAGATGAATTTAAACATGTCATACATATTGTATATGCATGAATATATTTATTTAAAGGGAATCACGGTAGTCTAGCGGTAAGACGCCGGGCCCGTGACCGAAGGGTTGCGGATTCAAGTTACGGCATGACACCGTGTTGTATATTCGAGCAAGATATTTTTACTTCGCTTGTTCCAGTCTTCTCAGCTGTGAACGAGTACGTGGTTGGACAGTGCTAGTATTTTAGAGTGTTAGCCATGAGCGTCGAATCGGCAGCACTGGCTGCATGCTCACAAGGGAGGGAATTTGTGAACCGCTTTGAGACGAGCTAAGAACTAAGTTGTGATAAAGCGATATATAAGAACTTCGAATTATTATTAT